AATAATCATGCGGTATATCTGAGAACAATAAACTAGCATGGACCCTAAACTACTACTATTATAGGAGTAATACAAAACTAAAACAGACCACAACACGATATATCGATATTAATGAGACAAAGGTTTCAGAACATACTCCACAAACGGCTTTTTGAACATGCTTCAAAGTTTTCATCATTTCACTAGTATTAATATTATCATCTTCAGGATTTGGATCCTAAAAAGGCAACAAGATATATCAAATATCAAATTATTATAATACACAAGTGCACACACAAAAACAAAGTCAAAATGAACTTAGTACCTCGCCATCATTGAAAGGATCAGAGGTTTCCTTTTCTGAGTTGTTAGGAAGATCATCCTCACTCTCACCATTTGTAGACTCACCATCAGAAAGAAACTCATCATCATCCATGGCTACATAACAAAAAAATGGTTAATGATCTCATTGCTAGCTGCAGTAAAAAACCAATCGAATTGAAATTTAGCAAAGCTCTCTACAGATGAGGGGTCAGGGCCTAGCATGTCAAGTGCATAAGAAGCTAAAATTACTTGTACAAGGACTTCTATATAAAGAAGGAAATTACTAGAACAGGAGCATGATTTTGACCAGAACACCTAGATGCTTGACATGCTACTTGTGGACAGTATTGCTCACCCTATAGAATTTTCATATATTGTGCAAAGAAAATTCAGTCCTAAAATGCGGAATGCATAGCACTCTCATGGTTTCTTATTAATATGCAGATAGTACAATAGTATAGTACAACACATAATTCAGTTATCAAAATTACATAACAAAGGCACACAAAATCAGTTTTAGGACCACTGACATTCTACATGATTAGATCTAACAAAGAAACAAATCAATGTCAACCAAACAAACCGGTGGTCAAAATCTCTGATTGATCTATCAACTCCTAAAATAAAGTCGTTGAGCCGATTAGTACAATCTGATTCCAATCTGGCAGGAAAAGGGGCAAATGGGCGACAGAGTTGCAACAACCTTGCCCAATGCCCATACTCCACAAAGAATCAAACAAATTGTGTCTTAATAACACACAGCCATGTAATCCTTCCACGATCAGGTGCCACATGTGTATCACCTATGTCAAGAGGGTGCACAACGACTGACTGAAATACCAGGAGCCCATAAAACTCCAAAACATGCAGTAAGTTGTGGGAGCTTAAACAAATTTCTAAAATAAACCATGCACGTGAGCTCAAACTTATAAAAACAGATCCCAATATATGCAGTACTTGCCAAAGTCAGGAGACGGTAAAAACTGGATGAGCTCCATGCAATTACTAAAAAATGTTATTGTAACAAATCAATATTGCTCCATCCAATTGTGCAACCTCAAACACCATGTGGTCCATTGCAATTTTGTCAGCTATGTTATCTTAGAAGAGGCCTACTACATGCAAGAACCAATCACATGAAGAACACAGACACATGCAGACACAAACACAAAAGCTTCTTAAAGAAACAGAATATGACCACAAAAGTAATAAGAGCTGACGGTGGATACGTCCAACAGGGAATTGAAAAGCACAACAGTGAAAATTAGCAATCACATATCAAAGCTAAACTCTGCATAGCCACAGAATAACAACAAAAACAGAGCTTGTGCATTTGCACCACTTAATGAAAAAACCACACCAATATCAAAGCTGTGACAGTAGACCATAAACTCAAAGAATGTACTAGTGACTACAAATAATAAGCATCAAGGCTAGACAAGCGATAAGAGCAGCAACATGTAGCAACAAATATGTTCCACTGCGAGTGAAAATGATGCATCAACACAAGACCTAACCAAAACAAAGTACTACAATAGATTGCACAGGGTAGTTTAGCACTATTGATGGATCAGGTCCACAAGATTTCCCTTTACATCTTGTCACCCACCAAATACCCATTTCCAAGCAAGGGAAAGGAATGTTGAAGTACCATTTCCTCATCAGGAGCTCTGACCACATAATCAATCAATCATCACGAAATCTAGACTGCCCAAACACATGTCAATAGCTCACCGCCTCAGAATCAACACAAATTTTAAAACCCTGACATAGGCTGAAATCATAACCTACCAGAACCTACAATTGCTCAAGAGAACAGACACAGCCATGTGCACGGTAGCCCACATAACACAGCAAGACAGACCAAGCTCTGCTTTAGATCTACAAGCTTGGTAGAACAATAGAAGCCCTAAATTTTCAAAAAACAGACATAAGGTAATGGCCATCCATTGTTCAATTGAATACATGGTACACAGAATCTAACCGAGAAACACAGAAAACAAATCCACGCCACCTGCTAACAATCCAAACAAAAACCCATCCAACTCCAAATCTACGCTGCAAAATCAAAGGGGATGCGCACCAACCACCGCAGCACTCACCACAAACGCCAGCGAGCTACCAACAGAGAGGCACAATGACAGCTAATCCAACAAACCCTAATCCACACCAACGGTGCGATGAACCCTCTGAATCCACACACCACCAAACCCTAACATGAGCCCATCGAATCGAAATCACCAGATCCACACCACCAAATCGCAACCAAAATGGGTCAAAATAAAGGGAAGAGGGAGCCGTACTACCTGCTGACCTCCGCCGCGACGCACCCTCCGAATCAAAAAGTGAGGAAGAAGACCGAGCAGACCTACGCCGTCGTCGTCGCCGTCGCCAAGGAGGAGGGAGAGGAAGCGAAATGGACAGGAGTGGACCGAGTGGAGCGGAGACTTCTCGGCAGGCGCGACGATCCAAAATTGAACAGTAAAGTGGGTCCCACATGTCAGCGACGGAGCGGGTGGAAAACAGACCGCACAAGCGCGCGCCGTCGATGCCCCATCCGACGAAGGACAAATCGCGTGTTTTCTCAATAGGAACCAATAGCGACGGTGTTAGCGGGTGCAGTGGATCACGCCCGGACCCAATAGGAACCAAACACAGCACAGGAACCCAGTGGAAACCATCCCAGCGCACGGATCGCAAACTCCATCCAACGGAGGAGGCATCGCCTGAAACAGAGACAAAATTCAGGCGACTGCGCTATAGGAAAAGTGTAAATTGTATTGTACATCATTCTGTACGGCAAACTATAATAAATTAATAAAATAATATGAAGTAACCTTTAACCCTTTACCTAAATTATTGATCTATTTTAGCAGTGAAAACTTTGTTCTAGCAGTGAAAATTAATTGAACCAATCATTTTCTTTAAATGTTGAATGTGTTTTTGAGAAATCTCGAATCCATTAACTGGACTGATATTTATGTCCATGGGCCTTAACCCGTCGTGTTTCCAGTTCCTTGTTGTGTTTCATTCTTCTCTAACTGGGCCAAAATAAGGCCCGGAAGGCAGCAAGAAGAATTGGGCGTGTTCGCTTAGCCGCCGTGGCTTTTTCTTAGTTCAAAAAACATGTAGGGTGTTTTATAGTAAGCAAACCGCAGCTGGAGCGAACTTTGGTTTCCTCTTGTTGGCAACACAAGCCGACAAGTGCACTAACAGTAGCGTGTATGGAGCATAACCGCGCCCCAGAACATACTCCCTTTGACCACAAAATAATGCAATTCTCACTTTTTGAGAACGGTAATGCTCTCTACCGAGCGTCCAGACGGATGTGTGCCTTTGCTGGGGCTGCGGACAAGGTCTGACTGGCCCATTATTTATTAAAAAAATCTAGACGCTTCCATCGAGACGGAACCGTCTCGTACCGCACGCCACTCGCCTCACGCCGGACCTGCTTCGCACCATGTGCCCCTACGCCTCACGCCAGACCCGCCTCGTGCCATGTGCCCCTTTGTGCCTTGTGCGCCTCACCCACACGCCGCACTCGCGCCCCCCACGACGCGCCCACGTTAACGAGCCTTCCTTGGCCGGCGGCCAGTAGATGAGCACATGTTGCAACCGTATGTTTCATGCATTTCAAATGTATGTTGCATATGTTTGACCTTGATGTTGCAAAAAGTAGATCTGGCGTTGCATATGTTGCAATGGCTATACGCGTGTGTTGCTAGTATATGTTTCAAATGTTTCAACTATTTCAAACTTATGTTGCAAGTGTTTCATCTGGATGTTGCATATTTTGCAGTGGCTATACACGTATGTTGCAAGTGTGTTTTTCCAAATGTTTCACCTATTTCAGAGGTACGTTGCAAGTGTTTTATCTGTATGTTGTATATGTTGCAGTGGTTATACACATATGTTGCAAAACGTATGTTTCAATTGTTTCACCTGGTTTCAGTATGTTTCAACAGATGCTACTCCCCACGCGCTCTGACTCGTGGGCACGCACCAATCCAGCGCTACCTATCTCCATCATGCAGGCCAACTCCAATAGTCGGATGTGCACGCAACGGGCGGTCAGTGCCCAAATGAACGAGCACTCCCTGGTCAAAGTGTATGCGTGCATATAGAGCGCCAAAGCGGGCCAGCACCCAACGGAGCGCAGAACCAGGCACCCTTTCACCACCAGGCTTGGTTCCCCTGATGGAGCATGCAGCTAGGGTCAACACGGGTACGCCCGCTGTGCTCCATCCTCTCTCTCACACGCAGCTGGGCGAGCCCTACACACATGCTCTCCGGTGCAGGCACATCAGCAGCACGCACAGACCTAGCAGCAGCAGCATGCGCGGGGCGCAGCAAGCCAGCAGGCGCGAACCCAGCAGCAACAACAGGCGCGGCAAGCCAGCGGGGCGCGAAGCACGCGGGCAGGCACAGCAGCACACGGGTGCGCTAGCATCCGGACGCTAGCATAGCCCTTTCGAGAAGTCAAACAGTTTGAATTTTGACTAAATTTATATAAAAAATACTAATATTTATAATATAAAATAAGTATCATTAGATTAGTTATAGAATATATTTTCATAATAAATTTATGAAAACCCATTGCTGCATGCCAATTTGGGAACTCATAGAGAGTTCAACATGTTAACCAAAGTGATTAAGTTTCAGCTGTATTCCATGTGCTCAGTATCCAGACTTTGATCTTATCTAGGATACAGTTCACTGAGTGTAACCCCATTCACAGAGACGCCCTGTTCCAACATGAAACGAGACCGGTCATATACATAGCTGCTTTGACCATTTGACCGTGAAGCTGAAGGTGATTCACTACCGAAGAAGAATGCAGGCTGCGCCGGCGGCTGGAGCTCTATGCTATCCCTGGTTAACATAAACACTACGGCTGATATGTCAGGCCTATCGTCAGGTTCCGGCTGGACGCACAGCAGACCAATGTGGATGCATCGCAGCGCTTGGCTTCGAGCAAACTCATTCAGCGACCGGTGAAGCATTTGTGACATCGTCCCTTTCTTCCAGTGATCCCAGACCTGATAGGTGACCAGCATCAGTTTATAATTTGTCAGTAGAAACTAGAGAGGGCTTCCAGATTCAGACACGATGATATGAATCTTTTAGTCCTTAGATGCAGTAAAAAAGAAATGGAAAACAAAGCCAACCAGGCACTTCACTTACATCACTAAGGAGATTCACAGTGCTGTGGTCATCAGAGCTGCAGTTGCTTCTCCTGGTCACGATCTCAAGGACCAACACGCCGAAGCTAAAGATGTCGATCTTGGGCGACACACGACGATGAAATACATACTCTGGCGCCATATAGCCACTGCAGCGGATGGGAGGCGCTTCAGTTAGCTAGGCCTGGACACTCATGCATTCAACAAGCGCAGTGAGCCAAGTTTGCGAGCTTAGCTTACAATGTCCCAACAACTCTGGCTGTCTGAGTATGGGTGTGGCCTTCTCCTAGAAGCCTTGCCAACCCAAAATCTGCAATTTTCGGTTCCATGTTGTCGTCGAGAAGAATGTTACTTGCCTTCAGGTCCCGATGGATGATCCTCATGCTTGAGTCCTCATGGAGATACAATATCCCCTTGGCAATTCCAAAGATGATGTTGTACTGTTGCTCCCAGTTAAGTGCATTTCCTTTGCTATCATCTGTTGTGCCCAAATTACTAGCTTATATTAGGTGTTACTGATAGGTAAATACTGGCAAAACAATATAGAAACACCTTACTATCAGGCAAAGTTCAGAAAAGAATCTAAACTGTCACTTTTTCAGTAATACCATGTAAATTACTTTATCAGATATCAATCTAGTGATTTGATTTCCCTTTTTTCATAATTGTGCTCCCTCTAATCACAAAAACATGTCATTTAGGGTAATATTCGATCAAACCTTAAAAAGTACAAACACCAATAACTATTACATTATTCAGTTTGAAACATGTAAGTTATATATGTACATTGAGATCTCATGTATATTTGTGTTCAAAATGCTTGTGAAATCTCTTTAACTAAAGGATTTTAATAATATATTCTAGAGCAAATTAGTGTATGCATCGAAGACATTCAAAGTCTAATGTGTCAAGTATTTTTTTACCGTAGGGGCAGCAATTATGTTTCCCATCACACTCATCTATCAGTAGGTTCACTTAGAGCCTAAAAATTCCCAAGGATTCATGAAAAGCATCCGAGCAGTGTAATATTTTATTTACCATGACCCCCGACAATGGAATTCTGGATATGCATCTGAAGAGGTCAATGAAGAGGGAAGTACCGAATAGAATGCTGTCAAGGCTCCCATTCTTGATGTATTCATAAACTAGAAGTGTATCATCATGATGCGAGCAGAAACCCTGTAACCCAACAAGATTCTTGTGCTGAAGCTCTGCCAGTACCTGCACCTCATTTTGTAGCTGATCCAACCCAGACCCGGCTCTTCCTAAAAGTTTCTTGACTGCTATCTCTTGCCCGTCTGACAGTATCCCCTGAAACAGATCAACTTTAAGAGAAGGCATGATGTACTAGAATTCTTTTTCCCTGAGTTCTCACTCGATTACCTACCTTGTACACAATACCAAAACCACCTTCTCCAAGCTTATTTTTCTCTGAGAAATGTTCAGTCGCCTCTTCCAGCGTCAGCAAATCAAAGATCGTGCATTGAGCTCTCCCTATCTTCTTCAGTGCTGGTGTCATATGACAAGAATTTATGTTTGGAAACCGAAAATACAGGCTCATACGAAAAACCAATATTGCTACTCACGGTGATCATTTTTCTTCACATTAATCCTTAGCCTGAAGCGAATAAACAAAAAGACCGAAAGAATTAACATCAACACAACAACACAGGTTATGCCTGCAGAGATTCCTGCTGCATTCATTTTCCTCCCTGCATACACCAAACCTGAATATCAAGTAGGAAAGGATGCAATTCTAGCGTCCTACAGAGTCAAACTATTTTGAGTTTGACCAAATTGAAAGTATCAATATTTATAATACCAAATAAATGTCATTAGATTCGTCATGAAATATAATTTCATAGTATACATGTTTAGTGTTACCAATATTGATACTTTTTTCTATAATCTTGGTCAAGTTTTAGAAAAATTAACCAATGATAGAGCTAAAATTGTGTTCTATTCATGATGGAGGGAGTGCTTGATATTGAACCTTCACAATAGTGAAGAAGTCAAAGACTCAAAGTAGTACTCCCTTCTGCTGAAATTCTGGTGAAAGTTTAATCTGATGTGGACTATATCATTTGATGAATTTTGAACATGTTTGAGAGTTCACATGGTGACTGAAAGAAATTTAGTTTGGAGGAAAACAAGAATCGAGTGTCCAACTCCTACGTGGTTCAGACCTGAAGAATGGGGCGTGGGCGTGGCCGTTGGTGGAGGTGCCGGCGGCGCCGGAAGCTGCAGCATCGCCCGGCCGGCGTAGAACGGCGACACACTATACCTCAGGGAGCACCACACATGGAAAGCGTTGTTCCCGAGGGGCCGTCCGCTCAGGAACTGCGCCGTCACCCTCGACTGGAGGTCTCCGAGGCAGCTCTGGCACTGCGCCGGCGTCAGATCCGGCGCGCACTGCGCGAGCCCATAGAGCTTAGGGTCGAAATCCATCTCCCCCGTGGCGAAGTACTTCCTCGTCGCGTTGCTCGCCGCCGCCGCGCGGTGGACCAGGGCCGTGAAGATCCCCGTGACGGCGGCGCCGAACCAGGCATCTGCGGCGTTGACGCTCCCAGAGGCTGGGTCAATCAAGGGACTTGTAACAAGTTCACAAAATTTGTAAGGTACGCGAGCCTCTTAGGTGGGAGAAAATCTTATTGGGTTATATTGATGTACAAAATTGGAATCTTGGAGTTCATAGCCATACTTACACCAACTCTGAGACGAGCCACTGGTCCTCTCTGAGGAAGTCGAGGAACCGGATGCCGGCGAAGCGAAGGGTGCAAGCGTCCTTGTAGACGGTGGCGCCCTTCGTGAGGGGGCAGCGCTGCTGTGCGTCCCGGAACGAGGCCGCGACGCAGGAGGAGCAGGAGGAAGCGTTCGTGTCGCCTCGGCAGAGCGCCATCCCGTTGACCTGGTCCGGCGCCGCACCGACGGCGCCGGTGGCGTACCCTGCCGGCGAGGCGGAGGCGTTGGCGGGGAGCGCCGCGCCGAGGAGGTTCAGGTTCGCCTGGAACGTGCTGTTGTCCGCATAGGTGGAATCGTCGCAGTAAAACTCCTGGGTCGCCGCGGCCGGTGGTACCGGCGGCAGAAGCAGCGCGAGGGAAGCGACGACGACGACGGCACAGCAGCCGTCGAACATCGCCAGTGGCAAAGGAGGGGCGGCTTACTTTTGCTTCGCCACGGAAATGCGACTACCACATATACCAACCACAACCAAATCGGCCTGCCAGTGGCGACGGTGGCTGCGTGTAGGACGCGCCATTTTTGCATTATTTTAATTTTTCTTTAGGACCAATTTTCCATTATTTTACGGGGGAATTACATGTGTGCTATTAAAAAAGATCGCATGAATGCTTTCTATATGTGTCACTAGAAGTTCATTGGTCTTTGACTCCATTTCCTCTCTCCAACTTTTTCGTGTCCTCCATGCCACTTTAAATGGGTTTGGGCTCTAGCAGCAGTATTTGCGAGTGTGAAAAGATCTATATAAAATATTTATTCAAAAAAAAAAATATGTTATTAATATTTTAAGCATATCAAATCATATTTTTTGTGAAAAAATGAAAAAATTTTACTAGAAAGTTGTAGATCTCGTTGAGATCTATAATTTTCATATAAAAAGTATTTTCATTTAATCGTTAAGATGCTCAAAAAAAATAATATGATTTTTCTAAGATATATTAATCATATCAAATTTTATTTTTTTGTGAAATTAAATGAAAATAATTATATGATTGACTCAAGATAGAACTAAAACTGATTTTGAAGTTAAACATGGAGGAATAACATAAAAGACAAGAGTAATAGTCTTTTCAAGACCTGATGAACAACGTTTTCAAAGACAAATAGAGAAAAAGAGTAAATTACGATCTTTTTTTAACTACAGGCATTCACGATCTTATTCCCTGCAAGGTATTCCCCTATTTTACTGAGCGCGGGCGCAACCGCACAAAGTGGCATACTGTAGCGAGTAGCAACCACGGGCCGGCCCAACACATCCACACGCATCAACATGTACAGATCAAAAATTATGTTCGTGCTATCTCACTATGACATGAGGCTAAAACCTGAAAAGACTGAAAGGGCAGGGAGTGGTCGGAGGCAGAGCTCACATGGTGGGACTATCTCCAATAGTACAGATCCAGATCGGAGGCTATTTTATAGTTTGGGTCACGCATCTAAAACTCGTATTCTCCAACAGTCTACCCAAAAGCACGTCCCTCCCTCCTCACTCTCTCTCCCCCGCGCCGTCTGTTCCTCCTGGCGCCGCCCCTTCCTCTCTACCCCGGCGCCGCACCTCCCTCTCTCCCCTCCCTGTTGAGCACGGTGCCCCTCCCTCCTGGATCCACCCGGCGGCGGCACCCCTCCCTCCCCTCCCTCTCGGATCTGGCGGTCACGGGCGAGGACCCCGGATCCCCGCTCCCCGCCTCGTCGCGGTACCCGCCGGCAGCGCCTCGAGACGGACCTTGCTGCGTCGACTCCTCATCCCCGTACTGTACTACGCGTTCATGTCCATCTACGTCGTCGTGTCTGAAACATCCTCAATTTTCTACGAAGGGAAAATCCACAGAATGAATTATAATATGATGAAACAAATAGTTGATTCCATCACATTATCATATATCAGCCGATATCACAGTCATACATCGTAAGATTACAAGAATACAAGATAACACATCACTGGGGAAACAAACCTATTACAGAGTTAATCTAGCGGAAGACTATCGAGTGAAGGCTCCTCCTTCGCGGGCATCATCAGAGTTGGCGTAGTGCAGCATAGACTCTTTCTCTGAACCAAACTTGAGCGTAGGCACGAGACCTCCTAATCCTTCTATAGTCAGCATCTCTGAGAAGCAGGAGATCTGCACACCGCCAGATGTGTGCAGGCCATGGTCAGCACCGATGAGCTTTAGTGGAAAAGATAAAACAAGAGGATCTGGCGATCCTAACATTTGGCTGTGGTTTGCATCCTTAGCGCATGAGAAGTAAGTAACAGTAGTAATGTAATAATAATGTCCAGTTTTTAACATATTCCCAGCCACACACATCCACATCCATCCATATCCATCCTCCAACCATCCATCCCAAACCATCTCCACACCACACACACCTTATCTCATCTCACACACTCAGGTCGACAGGCCAACTCCCTCTCGGCCTTGTCTCAACGGCCCGCAGCCCCAAGGCTCACGACCGGAAAATACCCCAAACCCTGGAGGGAGAATAGAAGGACTCATCTCCTATCTAGTTTAAGCGAAACCCAGGAAAGGTCCATAGCCGACAAGTCGGCATATGTATCGATCGATCAACCAAACACTCTACAGAGGCTTTACATACCCACAAGATTAGCCATCCTTGGAGTCTTGCTCTCTTAGGCAGAATTCTGGTCGCTTGCTAGCCTAGAACGATGCCACCCTACCTCTCAGCCCTGGAACATCCCAAGTCTAATCTGGGATGGCTGATACTATGAGTCGTAGACAGAGCCGGGGCCCACCGGATGTCAAGAGCCGGTCCACAAGGCCTCCTGAAGTCTCGGAAGGGTGTGGGGGGGAAAACCACGCGCCCCGTACCTCCTTGCACACGTTCGCCTAGCAGTAGTGGCATCATTCTACCAAGTAGTCCGACCGTCCCGCACCATATAGGGCGAGTGGGATGTAAAGGATTCCCAGTGAATCTGAGTACTAGTAAGTCCTTAGAAGTGACCAAGCCAGAATATCTTCATTAGGGTTTCCATTTACCGTGCCACCACAGCACCTCTACCCTAGGCTCCACCTCTCCAAGGTTCACACCCAAGGCCACCTCCAATTACCATTTACCCGCCACAGGTATTCCATATCCAAGTGCCCAGGTAGCACCACATGGCAAGACTCGCCCCAGGCTCGTCGTTATTCTAGCTCGGTCGACACAACCCTCACTCTCCATGCACCCAAGACACACGCAGCACGCTCACACACCACCAAGTCTGGCACCCATAGCCAAACCATTCCTAGGTTGTTCACCACCAGCATCACATCCCCCAACATAATGCGAAGTGGAGTTAAGTATAGTGGTGTAATATGCAAGCAAGCAGGCAAGTAAGCATATATAAGCGAGCGAATGCGCAAAGCAGGGTGATGTGGTAGAGTGGGTTGCATCAGGGTAATAATGGCTCAGGTAGTAGCATGCATTAAAGTACTAGCAAAGGAATAATTTATAAAGCGCTAGCAGTTCTAGATATTATGCAATGTCTAATAGGATTCTCTAAAAGAGCGTGCTGCCATGACACCTGCGATGTAGAGGTAGTAGTGGTACAATTCTCCATCTGTTGGTGTTCC